GGGGGGGGGGGGGGGGGGGGGGGGGGGACACTCGGACCCAATATGTACTACAGGCACTCTAATACAAAGACAGCACACGTGGAGGTCGGTGAGTCAAGGTGGGGAGCAAAAGATAAGAATGGCAGCACGGACTACGGAGTGCGTAGGCCGGGGGGCGGGCAACACCGCAACGCTGCGCGCACTCTGATAGAATCCACGCCTACCCGTGTCGGAATTTCCATCCAGAAATGGAGTGTACATGAAACAACCCGTTGTTGCTTTGCCGAGATAAGGGGTTACAACAGCTCGCGAGGACGCGAGAAAAATGCCATGACAAAATATTACACCAAACGCCTTACACATGACCTGGGACAAGCAGATCTAGGTTATGCAACCTGGAATCCACACCCCGGGCGGTTGGCAAGCCGAGCAACGTTGGCTGCTTCGTGCCGATACGTGCAACATCGGGGTTGATATTGCTTGTGTTGTGCGGCTCTCCGAGGGAGCCTGGGTGAAGATCAAAATCAACACATTGCCGACATAAATCCCTCTTGGATCGCCGTCCAACTCAAGACAGCAGAGCAAACGGCCGCAGGGTGATCATCTACCGGAGCGGGTACCGCTTGACAAGGATCATATGGAAGCTTGACACGAACGTTGCTATCCCATCCATCACCCTTCGGCGGTAGGCGAGTGAGAGAGTGACCACAAGACTACAACCCGCCAAAAGAAGGCGACTCAGAAAAACGGAGAGTGCCGGAAAAAACACGTCAGTGACAAACGATGTAGGACGCACCTCTCGTCCGGAGTGATACTGTGTTCGTCTGCCATGGTTCCTTTTGCGTTGGGCGTTGGTGCGGGGTGCTGTAGTGGTGCGTGCCTGCCACGACAAGCCGGATAGCGGGCGAGCTCGCGAGGCAAGGGGGCGACGCACTCATTAACTTATGGAACCCCGCCTTCATTCGAGAAACTTCGCAATGTGCGGATGCCCCCGCCGACAGCCGACAACAGAGCCATTGTTGTGTTGTTGTTGTCTCCTTGCACTAGGCCAAGGACTGCACTAGTAGCATGGCTACCCAAGCCCTTGCGTCATACACCGCGGGAAAGTATAGCGAGGCCCTCTCCCACCTCTCCAACCTCTCGGTTGCACCAGGGAGCAGCGGTGACGCCGGCGGGTCTTCCTCCGACGCCTCCAGTGACTTCCGGGCCCAGCACAACCTCGCCCTGAGCGAGCATGGCGCCCGCGGCTTCGCCGACCCGGCCAAGCTCGAGTCAACGCTCCGCGCTATCCACTCCCGCCTGGCCAGAGCAAGCGCTAGCGGTGACGGCAGCAACAACTACTCAGACGCCGAGGATGATGACGCCTCTGACCAGGAGCAAGCCAACGCTTCCAGGCGAAGCAGCCGTGCCTTGACCGGGGCGCTTGTGGTGGGTACCTCCGGCGGGGCCAGGGCGGCTGCGACGGCGGTTGCGGGGCTGGCCGAGCTCGACGTCGACGCCTCCGTCCTCCTCTACAACCTGAGCGCCCTCCGCTTCCAGCAGAAACAGTACGGAGCCGCCCAGGCGGTGCTGGAGCGGTTGTTCCTGCACATCGAGCCCCTGGACGATAGCCTCGCGATCCACATCTGCCTGCTGCTGCTGGATGTGCTGTGCCACTCGGCCAGGGGTAACCTCCACACGGAGGACAACCTCAGGAGGTTCTCGGCGCAGACGGCGGTGGTGCTCGCGTTCCTGGAGCGACCTCACGCGCTCAACTCTTCGAGCGGTGGCGGCGATAGGTGAGAGAGACAAGACAAAACAGCTCTCTTCCATTAGCCATCCTCTACTGCAGCTGTATTTTGTATATTGTGCTTGCAACAGCAGCAGCAGCAGCAGCAGTGCACCGAAGTTGTGTAATAGTCGTCTTCCGCAGTCCACACACACTGCTGGTGTTGCTTGGTGTTGTGTGCCATCGGTTGATCGTTGCGGTGGTCGTCGAAGAGGGGAGCGGGTAGCGAGTGATGTTGCTCGTTGTGACGCCAAGTTGTGGAGTCAGTTCTTGGAGGATTTTTCCAGCATTGTACCCTAAAGGGATTTGGCATCACTACACTGGCTCCGCTGTGGTGCTGTCTGTAGTTGCCAAGATTGCGGTCATGACACCAAAGCAACTGCTGTTCTCCGTTTCCCAGCTCCGAGTATCCTTAACACCAGGTTATCTACTCCTGTAAACACACGAGAGGTACGACATAAATCTCTCCTGGATCGGAACAGCGGTCTGAGATTGTTCTGTACATGGAACTGCAACATGTGCTGCTGTAACTTTCGCACAGCAAAGCAGCAGTTGGTTAAGAGAGGACGATCAAGCAAGTACAGAACCGCCCCCTTCCTACCGGCCAACCCGTGTTGTCCACGAAAACCATGCTTACAAGCATGCTCACCTTGTGTTGGCAACAATCCTTAGGGTGCAGAAGTTCGTCAACAGGTGCGCACACGACATCATCTGGATTCTGCACCTCGTAGCACCGTTATTTGAATAGAAAAATCTGGAGGTACGTTAATTGAGACAGGATCACTGATGAGGAGACTTCGCTGCTGCTGGATCACCAGGCAGATACACTACTGTACCACGAGCTAACGGTCGCGAGAGAAAATGGCCAGCAAAAACGCCTCCTTACCCGAAGTATGAATACCACAACCAATGCTCGATAGTTGCCCTACCAACGGGACTTACTTGTGCTTACGACTGCGGTACATCTTGGAGGAAAGATTCCACCGAAAGCTTTCTTGAAACGTGTTTGTTGGCGTTTGTGATAGACCTCTTGGTTGCCGCGCAATCGATTTTTGAAGTCCGTCCAACGGGGGGGGGGGGGGGG